GAGTTCGAGAAATTTTTCTCATTATTCTACATTATAAGTACCCAAAGAGGCTATATATATAAAAAAACGGATACAAATAGCTGTTTTGCAAAATTGAGAGCAATTTTAAATCTGTTCAGTTTTTTTTATACACCCTGTAGTGTTGGTACATCTCTGCCAGTCCTACTAAACAAAAGCAGTAACCAATGGCGGAAACTATGGGGGGCAAGGGGGGATCGCCCCCCCCCCCCCCCCAATAATTTTAGCAAGATTTCATTTTGAAAAATCTAACGCGCGTGCCACGCGCTATACTTGGCCAATAAGGAGCTCCCGTAGCCGGATGACGTCAAAAAACACGCGAAAAGGTGCACTTTTACCTTTAGAATCGACTTCTGGCATTTCCAGAGTCGTACGATAGAAACGTCGCATTGTTTTGACGCTTGAAATTGTATTTCCGGTTGGGATCGGACCAGAAATGAAACACCGTGATAAAGATGCAAACAGAAGATACAGGCTCGAAAATGTACGGTGGCCGATAAGGGCCACCTCTGCTAGATGGAAACGCGACTGTGCTGCATGGAAACACAACTGTGCTGCATGGAAACGCGACTGTGCTGCATGGAAACGCGACTGTGCTGCATGGACATGCGACTGTGCTGCAAGGAAACGCGACTGTGCTGCATGGAAACGCGACTGTGCTGCATGGACATGCGACTGTGTTGCAAGGAAATGTGACTGTGCTGCATGGAAACGCGACTGTGCTGCATGGACATGCGACTGTGTTGCAAGGAAATGTGACTGTGCTGCATGGAAACGCGACTGTGCTGCATGGAAACGCGACTGTGCTGCATGGACATGCGACTGTGTTGCATGGACAATGCGACTGTGCTGCATGGAAATGCAATAAACATTGTTTTCTAAAAATAGAAAACACCCCCCCCCCCGGCTAGAATTAGTTTATTCAGCCGACGGGGTCACGGGGGCGATGAATAGTTTCATGACACCACGATCACGAGGACGTCTGTCTCGACGAGGAATATAGAAATTCGAAAAGCATAAAATTTAAAAGAAAATATATCGAAGATTCGAAGATAAATTAAGGTTTCAAAAATGTGAGTCTTGAAATTGACAATGAAATCGTGTTGCCATTTGTGGGGAGCATTTCCCAGACAAGACAAATTTTTGTTCAAATTGTGGGAAGACGCTGCTCAACAGTAAGTATCCTGTACCATTGTTGATTAAATTATGTATTTAAAATATATTATAAATGCATGGATGGGAGGTGTATATTAAATAAGGAGTCAAAGTCGAAGTGACTCCAAATCTATAATGTGCATTTGGGATAATTGTTTTACTGACATATTGTTTGACATTGAAAAGTCTCGAGTTTTATAATCTTGTTCTTGTATATATATTAATATATAATTATATACTGTATATGTATTATGTGGAGCTACTGTCTATTAAGGGGTTGTATATGTATTCGAGCCAGCCTGGGTACCATAGCTATACACTTTGCAGAGTTGATTTCATCTCACCAGACTTGGAGGAGGCTTGCCAAAACAAACCACTTGACTCATTGATATATAAATTTATTTTCTCACAAACCTGAAATTCACACTTTTGCAAGCAATACATTGATATTGTTTTGACAGTTGTTAAAAATAGCTTGCGGCAGTACCTTTGAACTTTGAGTGTTTATATAGTGGAGAAATTCCCATCCCGGTAAGCGAGATCTCGCCTCTTTCAAGCAAGATCTCGGCAACCCGCTTGTCCATATAAAAGCTCAATAATTGGCCTAGTACTCCAAAGGTCATAGGCGAGGTCGTAGGTTCAATTCCCACCCTGGCCAGGCATATTTTTCAAGCTTCCCCGGTGTGGATGTATACTCAGAGTAACATCACAAACAGCACAATAATTTTTACTAGTATAAAAATAACTACACAGCGAAAATTTTGCTACCAGGCTGTCTCGCTAAGCGCAAATTTTGCTACCAGGCTGTCTCGCTAAGCGGGCCAGCCCGGCTTCCATATAAACAGGCTCTTAGACAGTAGCTCCACATAATACATATACAGTATATAATTATATATTAATATGTATACAACAACAAGATTTAATATAAAACTCCAGACTTTTCAATGTCAAACAATATGTCAGTAAAACAATTATCCCAAATGCACATTATAGATTTGGAGTCACTTCGACTTTGACTCCTTATTTAATATACACCTCCCATCCATGCATTTATAATATATTTTAAATACATAATTTAATAAACAATGGTACAGGATACTTACTGTTGAGCAGCGTCTTCCAACAATTTGAACAAAAATTTGTCTTGTCTGGGAAATGCTCCGCCCCACAATGGCAACACGATTTCATTGTCAATTTCAAGACTCACATTTTTGAAACCTTAATTTATCTTCAAATCTTCGATATATTTTCTTTTAAATTTTGTGCTTTTCGAATTTCTATATTCCTCGTCGAGACAGACGTCCTCGTCTATGTCCTCGTGGTCGTGGTGTCATGAATAAACTAATTCTAGCCGGGGGGGGGTTTCTATTTTTAGAAAACAATGTTTATTGCATTTCCTTGCAGCACAGTCGCATGTCCATGCAGCACACAGTCGCGTTTCCATGCAGCACAGTCGCGTTTTCATGCAGCACAGTCGCGTTTCCTTGCAGCACAGTCGCATTTACATGCAGCACAGTCGCGTTTCCATGCAGCACAGTCGCGTTTCCTTGCAGCACAGTCGCATTTACATGCAGCACAGTGGCGTTTCCATGCAGCACAGTCGCGTTTCCTTGCAGCACAGTCGCATTTCCTTGCAGCACAGTTGCATTTCCATGCAGCACAGTCGCGTTTCCATGCAGCACAGTCACGTTTCTTTGCAGCACAGTCGCGTTTCCATGCAGTACAGTTGTGTTTCCATGCAGCACAGTCGTGTTTCCTTGCAGCACAGTCGCGTTTCCATGCAGCACAGTCGCGTTTCCATGCAGCAGAGGTGGCCCTTATCGGCCACCGTAAAAATGACACTCTAAATAGTGTTTTTGATAGCGATTAGAACGAAAGGTAGGGCTAGTCTATATTATTTAATAGGTTCAGACAATTGCGTAATTTGATAATATATGATCTCGCTTAAAAATCGCTATAATGTTGGCAATGACTAAAACTATCGTGAGGAACTAGTTGATATTGTCTTGCTGAATCGAATGGTGGTATTATTGTCTTCATATAATGCACTGAACCGAAGATATGAACATACAAAGTCCGCTTCTTGAAGCTGACGATGCGTGGGACTTGTCGAGAAAGAGTTAAACCACCTTGCAATTGCATTCACAAATGTATTTAATCTAGAATGTTTTCTCTGAAATGTCGTTTTTTTTATTCTTAACATATGATTTATAACAAAATGCACCATTAAAAACTTTTGAAAACTTGAAATTTCTTACAAAATGTGCCCTCAAATATGCTGCAAATGCCATTTCAGGGATCCAAATTTTAAAACTTCTGGGAGAGCATTCCCCCATACCCCCCTACAAATCTCGTGCCTTCGGCAGTCCCCCCCCCCCCAATATTTCACAAAGTTTCTGCCAGTAACCCCTTCACGCACGCCTTTGCTCAAGGGCGTAATTTGGGTTTAAACAGGGGGTATGGAGTCATTTTGCTCGACAAAAGGGTGTGGTCAGAAAAGAATGTAAAGATGCTGGGAAAACTAAAAATGTTTACGAGGGTCCGCAGGGGTCTCTGAAACGCCATATGCACTTTGCGGGAAAATTTTAGAAAACGACGTATGTTAGAATAGCAAATTTGTAAAATTGCTCAAACTGGACTTCTAGGTTTTCTTCTTCTTAACATGATTTGAATGAATTGAATTATATCCAAAACCAATAACATGCATGTACAGGTACGTGATGCAATGACAAAACCAAACTGATTCCAAAGGCAACATACAACACAGCTTCATTGTCTGCAACATTGATGTAGTAAAATTTCGTCGACGTCAAGATAAAAGTCAACCCTGCTCGGTAGAGAAGACATAAGAACTCCACTACAACTCAAATTGAGAAAAAAAGATAAGAAGAAAAGAAAACAATGAATGGATTTTATTTTAAATATGTAGTGTTACTACATCAGAGAACGGAAGTACCTGGTCATGAAGAAACTGCGGTGCTTTATCAACGAAACGTCTGCATATAAGTTGCGCAGATGAAAAGGAGCATGAACTAACTACTAGTGGCGCTGGCAAGGGGGGGGCACCAGGCTCTAATGTTTTTTCAGAGCGTTTTATTTTTCCGAAATATTTCTCCAAAATGTCACTAATGTAGTGTCGTCACCCCTCTCTCTCTTTGGCGGCGCCACTGATTCCACGGCCATCAGCACCTCGTATCAATGAGGTGTAAGTGACTTTCACCATGTGCGTTCACTTGCCCTAATGCCCTTTGGGGCACAGAGAAAAAAGATTTCACCTTTCCCCTGGCAAAGACCAGCAGTGGAGACGCTCAAAATCCTTGCATGACCTCGTGCATGATAGATTTTATATTAATGTACAGTATATCGACTTAAATGAAAGTCTTTGAAGTCATTAGATAACATTTAAGAAGTTGCCTGCATTTACTAACATATATATTCAGGGCCGAAACTAGTGGGGGGTTGGGGGGGGGCCCCCCCCCCCCCCCCAATATTGTAATATTGTAGTTTCGTCGGGCAAGTTTAACAGTTTCAACGACACGCTTGTTGGGCAAAAAATATGTAATTGAGCAAAAAATTTTACATAATTTATCGAAAAGTAATGGTTGTATGGAAAATTATACTGCGTAAAATTATAGTGCGTAAATAGACAATTAATTAGTCTTAGCCTTACTCGCACCTATCGTCAATTAAATCATCGCGGAATAGGCCTCTATTCAACCAACCCAGCTCATAAACGCTCGACAGAGTGTCTTGTTTTATACATAATATTTCCCAAGAGACACGTTGATTTCGGTGACCAAGCCTGACAAGATTTCAAGATTTCAAGACAAGTGTTATACTGTGTTATACTTCACAGTATCCTGTGACAGAAACTGTCGAACAGATTACACATAAAGAGATTAGGTTACAAAAGTCGCATAGCAACGTAGGAATGTTGTGGATAGCGTATTAACATGAATTTACAAAACGAACTACATCATAATGTCCTTGCAAATGTATGTCTCATGAATTCGACATATGGATCGACATTTGTATGATGTTGTGTGTCACAGCATGTTGTTGTTTTACTGCTAGATCAACAGAGTCAGAGATACTAAACGAGGTCATACTACATCGCGGTAAGTCAAAACAATCATGGTTCAGGTTGATGGTTATTTATAAGTGTATGAATGTACTCGACATATATGTATTTTATATGTATGTAAAAAACAGTGTGTCATCAATGGCGCCTTTGTCAAAGCATAAATTAATAGTTACCAATTAATTACTGTGGGCCCTGGTTAACAAATCTAACAAATCTAAGAAATTCAGAAATTGTAAAGGTCATGCTACACGAGGCAACCTCCGCTGCAACCCGCAGATAAACATCTTAAAGGATGGAAAGTGAAAGAAATAGATAGAATAAAGAATGTCGTGCCGTTTAGATAACACACGAGTCTCAGAACAGAAATCGTGCTGTAAGTCGCAGCGGAAACTCTTCTCGCGCAACATCGCTTTCAGCTACAGCAAGTTATTTCATTATTCATATCACGAGGACAGTTTATATCACAGTTACATCTTAAACATATTGTCTTCCACGTTCTTGGATCATCTGTATTATAACGACTATTGAAGGCATTGATGTAGTATACCCATAATAACCAGATGATCTTGATACGCGGAAAATTACTGGCACTAGTTGTCAAATAGAAATCCATTTTGTGATTAAAACGACTGAATATCTCCTGTAATAAACTTTATTTCGATTCCATATTTTTGTCAGAGCGATAGTTCTCATAACCAAACATAATTACAAAATTTCAACTAGTTTCATAAAGAATAACGAAAGATATAATTGACTGAATACATCAAAATAGATTTCTATTCGGACAACCCTTTCTGAGCACTGATTGGCTAAAATACGAACACGAGATCACCTGGAACGGTTTAAAATGTACTTAAATTGATGTCCATTCTCAGGTTCAGTGGTAGCATAGACAATCCAAAACTAAAGATATGTCTTCTGGATTGTCTATGGTGGTAGTTGGCGGTAGTGCGTTCCAAGTTGTAGTTACGTGCATGCACGAAGAATGAACGTTGATACGTGGAAGTCGTGCATTTCCGTGAACGAAACGTTATACCTTTAGAACTGGATGATCTCGTTACTCGCGTAGGAACTAAGTGTTGAGGAAGACCATCTTCTGGAATATTTAGAAGGTTGTTGGTAGCTTTAAAGAAGAACACAAGGTTCTATCTTTTTTCTTTCATGCATTCATGCCAATACGATATTGGCATTACATTTAATTTGACAAGCCTTTCACGGTAAGCCTCGTTACATAGGTATGGAAGGTTCAACAAAAACTTGGTAGCTCTTCTTCATCGTATCAAGTTGATCGTGGTAGCTCTTCTTCGTCATATGAAGTTAATCGTCTTCGGAGACCAAACTTGACTGCCATAACCAAGAACAGGGTGTAGGAGACCGCCCATTATTATTATTATTGTAGCATGTTACCACCGTTAGTAAGTTATATATAACGATTCCGATTTTAGGTTGATCAAGCTTTTATATTGAACATTACTTAACATATATATATATATATATATATATATATATATATATATATATATATATATATATATATATATATATATATATATATATATATATGTATATATTTAAACTTTAGAATATTATAACTAGGTCGGTCAAGGTGGCAAGTTGTACCAAGAGGTATACCTAGATCTGAAAGCAGTGCCGAAAGTTGTGACAGTGGTACCCACTTGTATAAAGTTCTTGTCAATTGTGCAGTACCTGTTACAAAAGGAAATACAAAATATCTGAATGTGCATGAAACGTTTAGTATTGAGACGAAGTATGCTAACTTATGGAACTCCGGAGGAAACTGGTTTTTGGGAGGAGGTTGCACCGAGAGTTACTACGCGCTGATACCTGTCGTGCAGATAGGAGGAAAACCAATCGAGAAGAGATCCACTAATATTGTAGTTTCTGAGATTGTTAATAAGAGCAGCGTGATTGACCTTGTAGAATGCCTTTGACATGTCCTTGAAGATGACATCGGTTTGTTTTCCAGAGTCTAGCAAAGAACCTATTTTGTCCAAAACCTGCAGTAGCTGCATGGGTCGTACATGATCTGCCTGGGATAAATCCGTGATGTGCGGAATTTATCAGTGCGAATCTAGAAGGTCACTCAGCTTGCTCAGCACACAGCGCTCCGAGCGCTGCGCTTGAGGACTTTGGAGGTGATGCAAAGAAGAGAAATGGGAGGATAGTTCTTAACATAATGGGACGATAGTTCTCATGTGGTCTTAGGACGGTCTTAAAAATTCTAGTTTGGTAGTTGTGGTTTTTGGCTTCCTTCCCCATAGTTTAAGATTATAGATTAGTAATGAAGTAATCGAGGTACAGTCATCTATCCAAAAAGATTGAAGGAGTCCAGAGGGAGACAACTTTGTGGGTACAGGTGGGTACTAGTGAAGAAACGTCACGAACTGAGTTATGTTGGACACTTAACACAACTAAACCTCATCCCACTTGAGTATGACAGAGAACAGAAGAACTTAATCTTTCTTTAAGAATGGAAATACTGTCTCACAGACCTTGACACAACGCACACCTCTGGCCTTTTTTAAAACGCAAGCCTGTGAAAATAGTACTTTTACCTAGCTCACAGTCATTGATCACGAGTATAACTAATATCTTCTATGCATGTCACTCATTCTGCTATTTCTCTCTTCATCATTCTCCATATTCGTGTTAAATTTAAGTGTCTGTGTAAGTTATGTACAATATTGTCTAGTTATCTACGTGCCAAATTAAAGCTATTAAATCTAAGTCTAGTTGCTTCTATACGAATTTCATTTGGCAAAGAACATATAAAACTGTGAAATAAATTACATGTACGAAATTTCTAGCTTATCTCTTTTCGTTCCTGAAATTATACATAAGTTTTAGAATAAGCCGAAAAAAGCTAAGTCAGTGGTATCATGCAATCATAAATTATATGTTGAAATTGTTAATAAAATTAAAGGACAATATATATTAATTTGTTTATATTTTCGTTAGCAGTGTGGCCATGCTGACTTCTCAAAGGAAGTTATTGATGCACATCATTGTCATTGCATTCGCAGGTATTTATATTTATTTATGTAGTTTTTTATACATCCAACAGCACGCCTCGCGTTGCGCGCTTTTTATCGTGCTTTTTTGCATGATCATTACTAGCCCACAGTGACAAAAATGTCGACCTATACGAAAAATAAACGATCGATTTGTTGGACATGACTGAAGCTTAAAATAACCAAATTTTAGAAAGCCTGGTTTTTCCAGTTCCTGACTCCGGTAATAACCGTGCCGAAATCTACCACTGCATTAGCGCGCCAGTACGACTGAGTTTGGCAAATACAACGGTAACGTCAATGAAGACGTGCTCATCAACAATAGAATTTTTACTCTAAGACAAAGGCGACTATAAATTGTATCCCTTGAGCATTCTAGGACGTCGTTCAAACTGCGACGTTATCTACACCATTTTCACGGCTTATAACCACGCCAAGTCGCCAACAGTCATATCGTTCGAATTATTAACTGTGTTCGAATTCGTGCGAGTGTTTTATGTGAAGTGACTGGCTACTTAAGGGCAGGGCTGTCGAGAGGTTGCGCGGGGCCCGGGGCAAAGTTTTCCAGGGAGCCCTATGACCAATCTCGTTCCCCGAGCCTGCGATCCTCAGGAAGGAACGTGAGGCTCTGGGATAATCCGTTGCCGGAAGCCAGGAATCCTGGCTAAGATTGAACTGCGCATTCCATTTCAACGGCCAATCAGATTCCTCCCTGAAATGGATTATCCCAGAGCCTCACGTTCCTTCCCAAGGATCGCAGGCTCGGGGAACGAGATTGCCCTATGACGTCATAATTGTGAAACAGGAGAAGCGGTGTTTTACAATATACTACACTTTAATTCATATTATCCGACGCTAACGCAGAAGGCCTTCCGCCTTCGTTGCTTTGGGGGCCACTTTTGAGCCGGAAACCGAGACAAAGTGCCCCCCCCCCCTCCCTGCCCCAACCCCCTCTCGGCGGTCCTGACTAAATTAGGGTTATTTAAAGCTAAGATAAGTATCTTTAAGAGGCAGATAAACTGTATTACAGTAGTAATGTATGCTTTGGCGCGCAAACAAAAGTGTAAGTAATTTTGTTTTCTACCGTTGCCGTTGTCAATTGCCAAACTCTCTATGGTGCTCAGAACGGCGTACTACTTGAAGAACTTACTACTTTCCCTGCAATAGTCCAATCTCTATAAACTCGGTCTGTGTCAGCGTAAGCAGTGACAATAACACCAGAAAGCTGCGGATTGAGAGGAATTCAACTACATAAAAAATACAAGTAAACCTCGACGTTTCGAGCGAAGACCCCTCGTCGGGAAGTTAGCAGCCCTTGTATTTTTCAGATAGTTGAATCCCTCTCAATCCGCAACTTTCTGGAATCTCTATATATAGCCTACTGTGATATGCCTGCGAAAATAATTACAGTAGTACCCGTGTTGAAATAAGTTGCGGACCTACAGTAAGCCAAGGCTAAGTGTAAATGGGGTAGCAATCTACTGTATTGTGTTGACGTGATATTACGTTACAGATTTACAGTATCAGAATTTCATTCAATTCCATATCATTACGACTCAATAATCTTACAACTCAACAAAACCAAGTTTTTACCAAGTTTTTTATGTTAGTGAATAGAAAGCTAAGATGTGACTGGATTAGTTTACCATTACCCAAAATTACAATTTTCGTTAAAAATTCCATCTATATATACCAGACATGAATTTGTAAACAGTTCATTCTTGCCGTTTTTTCTCAGTCTTTCATGCATCAAGATCAGAGAAACCAGTTATAGTCAAAAGACCAATCAGTCAAAATGTATACCTGAACAAATCAGCGACGTTTGTTTGCCGGGTACAGAGTACCCTCCCGTTTGCGATTGAATGGACGAAAGATGGTGGACAATTACTGAAAAGTGTTCGAGGTTCCTTGCTGATATTCAATGACAGTTTGACATTCCTACACGCTAGACGAAGTGATGATGGGATATACAAGTGTACAGCTAATAACAGCGTGGGATCATCTTCATCTGAAGCTACGTTAACAGTTTTAGGTAGGTTCGTTTCCTTTATTTTTTAATTGATACAAGATTTAGTACAAAAGTAAAATTTCAAGAATGATATAGTATGAGCCGATCGTAAATATGAGCCGATCGCCTATAAAAGAAATATAGTATGAACCGATCGCCTATAAAAGAAATGAGGGAAAGATTTTCTGTAAATTGGAAAAATAACTGTTCATTTTTTCGACGAATTGAACCCAGCCTTCGGCCTTAATTAATAATCCTTCATATATCATGCTAAACCTCATAGTCAAACGAGTAAAGTAGTAAACCATTACATTACTATATTTAATTGCGTTATCAGCGACACAGTCAAAGCTATTAACCAGTCTTGTACTTGAGCGTGCCTCAGTATACATGACTTGAAGACGGCTTTCCATTACAGTCCTTCGCCTGACCAAGCTCAACCTACTAATGTTTCCAGCTCGATACTTTCATTCTACTTTGGTGTGCGCGGAAACTTCGCCGGTGAAAGTTGGATTACAACGGCAATGTTGATTACGAACGCTCGTTCGAAATGTGAATTTCATAACTATCTAATATGAAATACTGGTATACATGCATGTAGGTAACATTTCTGTCGCTATATAGATCCACCAGTGGAACCAACTATCACTGAAATATCCTCAAACCAAACAATTGTCGAAGGAGTACGTGTTACATTCACTTGTAAAGCAACTGGAAATCCACTTCCACACATCACATGGAAAAGATTTCTTGAATCCGGTGATGCTGCTCAACTGGAGAGACCTTCACCTCAGTCGATCCGCATTTCTTCAGCAAGTCCTAGAGATGCGGGACAATACGTGTGTATTGCAGAAAACGACTCGGGAAAAGATACTGAAACAGTTTATCTAAATGTTTTGGGTAAGTATAATACCATTAGGCCGGTTGTGTAAAAAAGTAATTACACGTTATTGTAGCTAAACGTTAGTTCAAAAGTTAACCAATCAGAATTCCGCATCTGAGAGTTTAACTATTATTTAACTACAAAACATGTAGTTTATAAAAGAAGGGGTAAAATGAAGGGGTAAATTGGGAACTGGGATTTGCGTATCAGTTTGGACTGGGAAAGTGGGATTTGGGTCAGTGGGACTGGTAGACTGTGGTAGTGGCTGATGCAAAAATGAGAATGAGCAAACCCATATACCATTATAAAGACAGTTGTAGTTTGACATTTCAGAGTCTAAATAACTTCAAGAAAAGCTACAGAGAAACTTTTGATTGAGAGTTTATCTAAAAATGTCCTAGAAGATTGCATTCTGCCCTTTTCCCGTCTCGAAGTCACCTACTGCACCCTCTGGTTTCAATTTTCCTGTTTTTTCCTGTTTTACTCCAGGATACCCAATTTTTATTGTCAGTCCACGATCCAACATTACAATTCCCGAGAATAAAACGGTCAGCTTGAACTGCAAGGTGATTGGCTCACCAGTGCCTGATGTCAACTGGTATTATGGTAACAAACTTGCAGACGAAATTTCAAACATCGTGGTTCTGGACAATAACACAATACAAATATCTAACGTTAAATTCGACAACAGTGGAAGCTATACGTGTATGGCCAACAATTCTGTAGGACTACAACGTTCCAGGAATACACTGCTGCAAGTCTTAAGTAAGTCTAAATACTGTATATAGAATATTCTAATATGTTGGTAGTGTAAAGTGCACTGTAATGGTGAAAAACGTTCAATAGAATGACTTGTATAGAGCGATTGACGTCAATACACCCTTCCGGAAAGTACTCTTTTTCGTGTATCCGACATCAGTTAAAGTCTACGTGTCAATCACGATCAAAGGCCGTTGAGGCCGACTCACGGACGAGATCAAATGAAAGTGATAGAAAGAATTAGAGTAGTTTGCAGTTGTTTTTGCAAACGGGCATCTTGCGAATATATTTTGCCATTTGTCGTGCTCGCCAAATCAAAAAAATGAACGCATGCTCCAGCCCGATTAATATTTCCGGTTCTGAAAGGTCTGATTCGCAGGCAAACAGTGCGCGCAAAGCAGGCTGGTCATTTCCCATTATTTAACTGCCCCACACTCAGGTAACCACAAAGACTACATCCGTGAGTCAAAACCAGGCTCTATAGCCAATTAAGGTGACGTACTTTCCGGAGGCGTTTATTGGATATCATCAATAAACGATTACCCTGGTTCCAGAGGCTCTTTGCGAGGCGAAATCTTTGCGAGGTGAAAGAAACGAGAGGCGAGAAGGAAGAGGGTCACATCGGAATTATAGCTCTAATTAGCTTGCAGTATAATGTTTATTTCCCAAACCGGTTTGACATATTTTTACAAATGGCCAATCACATGCGAGATTCAAATTCTGAACCTAATCAAGTGTGGAAGTGGGATTTGCAATCCATAGGCGTACCGGGCGGGGGGCGGGGGGGGGGCGGTAGCCCCCCCAGTTTTTTGGGCAGTCGGGCAATATTCGATCACAGTCGGGCAATTTTGGTTTGCAATAAAAAAAAAATGGGACAAATTCTGTGAATTTTGTGTAAAATTAATTCAATTTTTTTGCAAATTTTGTGATTTTCCGAAAATTTGTGTTATGTTCCGAAAAATATTGGTTCTCCGGAAAATTTTTTTGACCCCTAAAATGGTACACTGACCGCCAAAATAATTTTTCTTTCCGCCCCCCTAATTTTTTCCTTCCGGTACGCCCATGTTGCAATCGATGTGACCAGAGGCTCTTCCTTCTCGTCTCTCGTCAATTTCGCCTCGCAAAGAGCCTCTGGAACCATAGTAATAAACGATTGATGCGGTGTTGATTTCCTTTGCATGTGTTTTTATATACAAACACTGTACATCGCGTACGTTTGTAATGTTTACTTTCCACTCTGTGTGATCAATTAACCAAATAATTTGAATGTGAATAGTTTTCCCTGTATTTTACCTCTTGTACATTACGTTAAAAATGTTAAAAATGTTAAAAACGTGTTTGACGCTTATTTAGGAAAACCGAAGCTTGATTGTTGCCCAAACAAGTTGACAGCATGGCGAAACGAGACCGCAATAGAGGGACAATCAACCTCTTTAAATTGCTCAGCTGCTGGATACCCCAAGCTAGAATATCAATGGATGTTCGAGAATAAGACAGTCTCGTCGTTTTCTGTCTTTACTATTTCCAGTGTTTCCAGACGAAATCATGGAGTTTACTCTTGCATGGTGCACAACAATCTTGGGGAGGTGATGTTAATGGTATACTTGAATGTCTTAGGTACGTTTTGTGTAGTTTAAGATAGTTTAAGTATAAGTAAGTTTACAACAATATTTCGTTTTGGTAAGGTAATTCGATCCGGTGGGATTTGTTGCAGGACCGGAATTGCACAGAATTGTCACGAGGAAGCCTGGGAAGCAGTATGCCGTTCCCCCGCGAATTTCAAAAGATTAAGCAGAAGCTAACCCAGCACCGACGGCTGATATTATGTCCTCATTGAGGGGGAGGGGGGGTGTTGTGATATTTTTACCAAGTTTTGGCGAACGTTTTGACCAACTCAGGTCATCTTGGCGAGCGGGGAAGGAGGGGGGAGAGGGGATAGGAAAACTTTTCTTTCTATTTAATGTATGGTTATTCACCCAATCACCCTTATTTGGTTAACTTTTCCTTAATTTTTTAGGCTACTTAATTTCCGCGTTTTGTTTTGCTTTTATATTTCGACTTGTTTGTTGCAAAGTAATGGGTCAAATTGTAAGTTTAAATAGTTAACTATATGATTGAGTGACCGGCTATCCTAATAGTTTCTTGGGCAGAACTGACAGAAATATATGATTTCCAACCTATAATCTTTTAACCTATAATCTTGAACACCAAAATGTAAAGAAAGCTGACAGGTGCAACGCAAGAACTAAAGCAAGAGCTAGTCTATTTTAGTATCTCATCATTATATAATTCAGTGGCTGTAAGACAGTCTAATTTCCCAAGGGAAGCATTTGAGGCATTGTGCATTTATTCCATACATTGTTGTTGTTTGTTGTAGTTCCTCCTGAAGTTTCAGTCCAACCTCAACAAGCAACCGTTGTTAAAGGAGAGCACGTGGAGTTTTCATGTACTGCAACTGGAGTACCTTTACCAGTAGTCACTTGGTATTCATCAAGAGGATTGGTGTTGCGCAATAATACCTTGGTGATCGCTAATGTATCTAAGAATGATCAGGGAGAATATCTTTGTGAAGCTAAGAATAATGCTGGACAGAAAACTGTCGGAACGAGAGTTACTGTTGCAGGTATGTTATATATTGAGTTTACTTTTGTTCCTTTGCCCCAAGGTGCGCCAATGTCACTGTTGTTCACTTTGAATCGTTAAATCACGATAGAAATCTGAAGATGGAACATTGTAATCGTGCTTGTCTAAAAGACAAAACGCGTGGAAGAAAGGCTAATAGGCTATGTGTTTGCGAATTTGTGTTGGTCGTTGCCTAAGCTTGTCTGAAATGTTTTCTGTGTGGTATACGATTGTAAACAATTACAAGTTATCTAGCTTTGATTGATATGACAAGTATATGACATTTTGAACGATATTAACAGCATGTGAGAGCGTAAATGTTTGTTCGGCTTTAAAACATATGAGTTTGGGCTGCAATTAAGCTCCGCATCTTGCAACATTGATCTTCATTGACGACCTTAATCAGCAGGGAAAACGTGATATGTCCACAGTGTGGCTCAGTGTTTGCATCTTCTTTCGTGCACCTTCTTTAGGCTCAGATTCCAGCCGTTATAGGATTCTCTCTGATCTTTGCGAACGCTGGAGCTATGGCGAGGATCTGAGGAGATCTTTTCTCAACTAGCCCATTGAAAGTCGATTTTGAAACTAGAAAACATTACTTGCGCTTGAAAACATGAATTTGTACAGAGTATGTCCAATATCACGATGCGATACGGAACATAAATTAATTATATAATTATAATTAATTGCTGCCGAGCGTAGCGAGGCAGCACACTATTCTTGACACGTGGTGGTTGTTCCAGAGTCCACTCGACCCAGTCTTTCGCGCGACCTATGTATAGTCGACATCTCGATCTTGTGTCCGTCTGTAAAGATGTCGTAATCCGGGGGGAATAATTAAAAGCTTCAGGAACGTTTGTTAAATGAGGGGAGCGGTCAAAACAAAATTTTGTATTGCACACGCATCTCCATGTGCTCAAGAGTTTTCAAGCTTTTAAATACGGATGCAAGAAATCGAAAATATCGGGAAAATTCAGGTAAATATGGCTCTATTTCTTTCTTCTTATATAAATCAAGGCGATGATCTTTTTAGTGTTCAATCTAGAGGCAAACAATGTGCTTTTATCAGTTAATATCGCCACTTTTAACTGCCCAAAATATACCACTGATCGATTGGTCAAAAACAACATTGAATAATGTCTTATTACAAGGAGACAAAATGTACTTGCAAGCTCTGGATAATGGCTTTGTTGTCTTAGAACCTGGTGTCGAATGTGTGTCTGTATAGATAACTTACCTAAAGTTGTCAGTGTTTCATGTTACACGAACATGTTTCCTTACGAGATATGTGATCGACACACGTAATATGCCAGCTGCAGACTGCAGTGCATGCGAAAACCACTACAACACATGTGAATCCTTTTGATGCACACAATAACGATACTATAAAGCCCATTGAGGCAAAAACTATTGATCTGTCCATTGTGGTAGAGCCCATTGAGGCAAAAACTAGTTATAAACATTGTATTGATATATTGGTGCAAGTATTTCACTTGTGTATGCCAAAAATTGGCAGAACATATTGCACGTTTTAGTCAAGCTATAGTGTCATTTTATACGACTTTTTATACTCAAATGTCATGCTACATTATATTCCACTGTTGCTGAGAATGGCAAATGACACGGCTAAAAACGCACAGGTTGTTGCAAGTTGATATCGACAGGCATGAACAATGTTGTGCGGCCAACAATGAACAAGTTGTCAACCATGTTGTTCCAAGTTGTCAGGCATGAACAATGTTGTGTGGCCAACTATGAACAAGTTGTCAACCATGTTGTTCCAAGTTGTTACAGTTCCCAAGAGTGCAATGGGATACGTTCCATTGCACTCTTTGCGAGTGCAATTGTACTATACGTGATAATCAGGCTTAATTTGCAACTAATTGATAATCAGGCTTAATTTAAAGGGGCCCTACAATCATTTTTTAGTTGAAAAGCCACCTTTAGGTATTGTTTACATTTCTTGTTATTGTCGCTACTTGACATGCGCACCACAGCATGCATGCACCTTCCGGTGTGCGGAAGTAGTCATACTCATAGATACTGCATGTAAGATACAGCCAAACGAACCTCCTTGGAGTCCACTACTTAAGGTGGTTTTTCGACTAAAAAATGACTGTAGGGCACTTTAATAATCTGTGAATCAAATCGAAACCTTGACATTTCCCCCGGGCATACCCCCGAGAACTTGGATTTTGACGTTTTGGTCAGGTCAAATTCCCTACATATATTTGTAATTCCTGTTCAAATACACCATGTATTGTGAAAAATTGGAGTTCAAATAACCCACCCCATGTATGAATTAGAGCTACAGCATTTCATAATTTTGGAATTACAAAGTTTTTCTTTCCTTCACAAACGATCTCTTCAATCATTCAAAGCCGTTTTCTTGTAGCCAACCAAAGACAAAGTTAATTTCTTCACACTTGAACTCATCCATTGTCATTGACACCATTTTGGATTCAGCACATGTGTTTAATTAAATTCCCGGGTCAAATTCGGGTCAAATTCCTGACCCCCTATAAGCAAATTCCCCACCTTCCACTACAAAAAAAGTCAAATTCCCGCCTTCTTCAAACACTAAACAAGCAAATGCCAGGGGGGGATGTCAAGGTTTCGATTTGATTCGCGCAGAAGATTCCTATAGCAACCCAGTGTGGATTGTTGTTTGCATATATTAACTTACCAGCAGTAATAGATATTATGTCCATTGTTAGCATAATATGAAGTAATTTTATCGGCCTATTCATATGTTCACCTGACTGTGTCACTACATTTCAGCGGGTATACTATATTTTTCGATAATGCTCACAATTTTTTTCTTATTATATAGTTTTGCAGTTCTGGCTGAGTACAATCTTAATCATTACAATGAATGGTGTCATCTGAAGCTGATGTATTAATTAAACAAAAATGTCAACAAGGGTAGCCATGAAGGTGCCATTAAAACAATATTTGGGACAAAAACTGACTTAGTATTTCTATATACAGTATGATATTATACAGTATTCAGTGGCAAGCTAGTCATGGCAACTGGTAATGCTATATGCTAATAAACCTACAACATTTGAATAATCTAAATAATAAATTTGCATAGCATGACCTAGCTGTTGCTATTGCTAGCTTTGCCACAGATAGTATTATAATTATACACACAAAAGTAAGAAATTATAATTATTGAAGGTACTGTATTCATATTATACCATCTATGCAGGCCAAGCTAAGAAAGTAGAATTAGAATATTTAGCTGACCTCCGACTTTGTGCAAGGTGAGGGTCTAGATGGGGTGGTGCCCAAAACAGTAAACATTTGATTTTTTAGTAATTTAACAGTAACAGTAAAAAATTTCACATAATAGTAAAATTTTGCTAATTTCATGAAGACGTAAAAAAGCACTTAATTATATGTAGGAAGCAAATGCACAGTCTCTAAGACCATCAAAGACATATTTTGCATATTTTGTAATTGGCACACCAGGCCCATATGCGCATGTGCTGGCCTGCATGAAGGCAAAGATGCAGGTGCTGGGCAAGGTGACAAGTGATGTAAAAGCTATAAAGATCTGTAAGACCCAGTGGCATGCTGGGTACTATTTTTCTGGGGGGGCCAGTGGGCTGTCAACAAATATGCGCCCCTATAATATTTCGCTTGATAAACGAGGGCCGAAGACACGAGCCGAACGCCGCAGGTGCGAGGTTTGTCTAGGGGGGTCCGGGGGCATGCCCCCCAGGAAAATTTTTGAATTTAGAGTCTCTGAAATGCCATTTCGTGGACTTTGGGGGAAGATTTGACAGAAATCTGATGGTCAGGAAACGGCATTATAACGTATCGAAATTTGCAATTTAGTTTGAATTTAGTAGTAGTAGTACTTATATTATGCAATGCTAACAACTTCCAGCGATTAATCTAATCTCAATTCTATTCTCTACTGATCTAGTGATCTGAATACAATTACAGCATACGGTTCTTTTATACAATAACACATGGACCCCACGCATATGCATTTTAAGGTTTCCGGCTGCCTGGTGCCAAAAGGGCGCGTTTCAGCATTACTCACAATACATTACTCATGATGTTTCTAGCGCAAACATGCAACTAAATTGCGTACACAACTTTACATTATCATAACTTAAACTATCTAATTTGCGCCGCTCTTGTGATTCGTGAAGCATAATAAAGGGCATAACACCAGCAAAAAAAGGCATAATTCCCGTGATCACTTCGAAACCTGACCAATATTCCGGTGATGAGACATTGCGTGTGATCACAGTTCATGTTTCTATATGAACGATTTCGTGTGAGTCGTGAGGTAGCAAATTAGCAAATACGGTTAGACAAAATAGTCTGTATAATTTAATATATCACTTTGTTACCTATGCACTTAGTCTGTTTTATAAGCCTATATAAACACATCTTTTCTCGGCGGAAGTAAATATATTTTTTCGAATGCGTTTTTTCCCACCCACTTTCAAATCTCGGCGCGGGATCGGCGCCCCCTTTTCATTTTTGCGCCCTGCAAGAATTGCCAACTGGGGGGGCCGTGGCCCCCCGGCCCCCCCTGCCAGCACGCCACTGGTAAGACCTGTAAACACACTCTGACATCGCTTTTAATATAGTTTCGTATTCTTTTGTCTGAAATTTAGTAGTTTAAAGCCCTTTTTGAAATGCATTAGACTTTTTATAGTAATTACAACACTTAACTGCGAAGTCTTCCATGACAGTAAACAACAAAATATTTAGCGTTTCAACATTAAACACTATAGAATATGGGCCGTCAACACTTAACATTAAACCCCATCTAGACCCTCCAAGGTGTTTGATATTCAAATTGCATTTTTCCTACTTCCTGAACAGGCATCTTACGGGCTATTTACATGTTGGGAGGGTGGGGTGATTTTGATGTATTGAAATAAGGCTAAACAAAAGTTTAAATGCTGGTTAACAGAACTCAAATGTTGTAAAGAATATTTTGCAGTTCAAGAAGATTATTATTGCCAGGGGCGTCGGAATGGTTGTAAAAGTGGGGGACACACTTTGTGTCGACAGGTGACAGGTGACGACAGGTAACAGTGTAGGGGGGT